ATGAGCTCACAGCACTGCTGTTCAGCTTGTGACCACAGCATCACCTAAAAATGCCATAATATACTTGTTCATGCTGTTATGTAGCGATGATATTGTTACAGAAGACCCCTGACTGTGATAAAACTGACCAGAGTTCTGATAATAGCAGGATTGTGGTGATATTTAGCGCTGTGCGCCATGGAGGGAGGAGTAATGCTGTGGGAGGGAGGAAGGTGGCGTTGTCTTTTGAGTGTGTGTGGCCACCTTTTATTGACTGCACTCACCACACCAGCTTAGTGGTTCGCTATGGTGAATACAAATGTAGATACTTATATATAACGTGTGTATAGAGGGTATAAACAGCAGGAGGAATAGGTTGGGAGCCTCCATTTTGGTGAGGGTGGTAGCGTCGTCTGCATGACTTATGTTGTTTTCTGGTGACCACTATGGTCTTTGGGCACCATACCAGTTTACTTGTACAAGTATGGTGAATAAAACAGGTAGATACTTATATATAATATATATAATAATTATATATAAGGGGAGCCGGTCGGCCGAGCGGACAGCACGCTGGACTTGTGATCCTGTGGTCCAGGGTTCGATCCCGGGCGCTGGCGAGAAACAATGGGCAGAGTTTCTTTCACCCTATGACCCTGTTACCTAGCAGTAAATAGGTACCTGTGAGTTAGTCAGCTGTCACGGGCTGCTTCCTGGGGGTGGAGGCCTGGTCGAGGACCGGGCCGCGGGGACACTAAAAAGCCCCGAAATCAACTGAAGATAACCTCAAGAAGCTACAAGCAATAATTATTGGGACCGTCTCAAAACTCTAAAAATGTACTCTCAAAAGGAGATGAGAAACATATCAGTAATATATTTAAGATACTGGAGGACCAGGTCCTAAATTTGCACAGTAGAATAACAACATACTGGAGTGAAAGGTATGGAAGGAAATGCAGAATAGAACCAGTGAGGAGTAGAGGTGCCATAGGCACAATCAGAGAGCACTGTGTTAACATCAGAGGTTCATGGCTGTTCAACACCCAACTAGCAAGCATTAGAAATATTGCCGGAACGAAGGAGGATGTATTCAAGAGACACTTGGACAGGTTCTTGCAAGAAGTGGCGAACCAACCAGGCTGTAGTGGATATGTGGGCCTGCAGGCCACTCCAAGTAACAGGAAATTGGACGAAGTTATCACAAGCCGAGCCTGGCCTGAGGCCAGGCTCGGGAAGTACAGTATCCACTCAATTTAACATCCTCTTTTATACAGATCTGCCAGTAATAACGACCAATTTGGGAGACCGGTATTTAGAGCCTCATATAACCGTCTGGCAGTCGATGTTACCGAAGGTCGGTATTGGGTTTGTCTTGGCATCAGAGGGTCCTCACATGGCAAGCAGGCTGCCTACACCTTTCATCCTCTCCCTCACCCTCACTGCACCTCTCCCCCACACTCTCACTTCCTGCCCCCCCCCCCCAAGACCTTTCTGTGAAATGGCTCAGTAGACTGCCAGCCTGCCAGAGACAGCCTGGAGAATCTCCATCTAATACAATAAAGCATTCATGAAACAAGTATTTTATAACTTTTTATTATCCTAATATTATTACTAAATAAAATCTGTAACCAAAAATATATATAATGTGCATCCAGAATTTAATTAAGAAACATCTGGTTAACTGGGTCAAGTACTGTATGCTAGACTTATCAGCGAGCCAGTCCCTCCCCCCCCCCCCCATACATCCCATACACACGCTCTGTCTCTGCTTCACCTCAACAGCCATTGCTCCATCTCTCTCTCCCTCCCTCCATCCAACCATCACTCCCTCCCTGCCTCCCTCCTTCCCCTCCCTCCCTCCTTCCCAGTTCCCTCCCTCCCGCCATCTCTCCCCTCCATCCCTCCTTCCCTTCCTCCATCCATCCCTCCCTCCCACCATCCCTTCTTCCCCCTCCCTCCCTCCATCCATCCCTCCCTTCTTCTTCCCTCGATCCCTCCCCTCCTCCCTCCATCTCTCCCCTCCATCCCCCATCCCTCCCTTCCCTTCCTTCCTTCCTTCCTTCCCTTCCTTCCTTCCTTCCCTCCCTCCCTCCTCCCTCCCTCCCTCCCTCCCTCCCTCCCTCCCTCCCTCCCTCCCTCCCTCCCTCCCTCCCTCCCTCCCTCCCTCCCTCCCTCCCTCCCTCCCTCCCTCCCTCCCTCCTCCCTCCCTCCCTCCCTCCCTCCCTCCCTCCCTCCCTCCCTCCCTCCCTCCCCCCTCCCTCCCCTCCCTCCCTCCCTCCCTCCCTCCCTCCCTCCCTCCCTCCCTCCCTCCCTCCCTCCCTCCCTCCCTCCCTCCCTCCCTCCCTCCCTCCCTCCCTCCCTCCCTCCCTCCCTCCCTCCCTCCCTCCTCCCTCCCTCCCTCCCTTCCTCCCCTCCTTCCTTTCCTCCCCCCTCTCCTTTCCTCCCCTCTCCTTTCCTCCCCTCTCCTTTCCTCCCCTCTCCTTTCCTCCCCTCTCCTTTCCTCCCCTCTCCTTTCCTCCCCTCTCCTTTCCTCCCCTCTCCTCCCCCTCTCCTTTCCTCCCCTCTCCTTTCCTCCCTTCCCTTCCCTTTCCTCCCTTCCCTTCCCTCCCTCCCGCCCTCCCTCCCTCCCTCCCTCCCTCCCTCCCTCCCTCCCTCCCTCCCTCCCTCCATCTATTCAACCATTCCTCCCTCCCTCCTTCCCTCCATCCATTCAACCATCCCTCTCTCCCTCCTTCCCTCCATCTCTCCCTCCCCTCCCTCCCTCCTTCCTTCCATCCAAACATCTGGTTAACTGGGTCAAGTGTGTTAGGCGTATCAGCGAGCCGGTCCCTTCCCCACCACCGACACCCCCCTCCCCAATACTTCCCATCACACGCTCTCTCTGCTTCACCTCAACAACCATAGCTCTATCCCTCTCTCCATCAATCCATTCATCCATCCCTCCATCCATCTCCATCCTACCATCCTCTCCCTCCCTGCCTACCACCCAGCCTCTGCCTGCCTGCCTCCCTACCGAGCTCTGCCTGCCTGCCTGCCTCCCTCCTTGCCTCTCCCTCCGTGCCTACCACCCAGCCTCTGCCTGCCTGCCTCCCTCCCTCCCTGCTTAGCACTCAGCCTCTGCCTGCCTCCCTCCCTGCCTCTCCCTCCATGCCTACCACCCAGCCTCTGCCTGCCTGCCTCCCTCCCAAGCTCTGCCTGCCTCCTCCCAAGCTCTGCCTGCCTCCCTCCCAAGCTCTGCCTGCCTCCCTCCCAAGCTCTGCCTGCTTCCCTCCCAAGCTCTGCCTGCCTGCCTCCCTGCCTACCTCCCAGCCTCTCCCTGCCTGCCTGCCTGCCTACATTTCAGCCTCTCCATCCCTCCCTGCCTGCCCATCCACCCACCAGTCAGCCATCACTGACACAACGAGTGCATTTGGAGCCAACATGGTGCACGGATGTTCCTTGATTGTGCAGATATATCCAACAAAGTCACAGAACGAATACACCAGCCTCATCACAAAACAATGTGCCGTGAATCTGTGACGTCACAGGGTAGAAGGCACTAGAATGGTGGACCCAGTGGCTGTCTGTATAAAATATATCTTACCTGAATGTTACTTGAAAAATTACCGACACATAACTTCGGAAATACCGGAGCTCCGGAAATAACAACCAGGGTACAGCTCTATATAGGCCGTTAAATCAAGTGGATATTGTACCATAGAAGAACTCCCGAAACATTCTCCAGGTAAAAACAATGGACAGTCCGCTATCCAGGATGACTCTAGAACCTCACAAAGTACCCAATAACGGGAAGAAGACCCGAACTCAAAAGAGATCGGACCCATCACCAAGACGTAAACTGGGTCACGCAGGATTTAAGTACCGAGGGCATCCTAAATCTCCGTAAGGGAAACACGAGAGGAAGGAAACCTCCAGAAAGATCAATCCGGGAAGCCCAAAGGCACCTGGAAAAGAAAACAACTTATCCTGTAAAAGCAGACCCTGTACAGAGGGCATAAGAGCCCAAGCAGAATCAAAGGAGCCAAGAGCTCCACTCGGATTCATCCAAAGCCCCAGGAACCATTGACAAAAGCCCCGGTGCAGAGCCCTCATCTATGCTTACTGCCTAAGAAGAAAAGGCTGAGTGCAGGGAAAAGGCCTTGAAAAAGAAAGTTTGCACTTACAAAATGCAAACTTTTGTAAATCTTTTGTAAAAACCTCAAATTTGTAAATCTTTTGTAAAAACCTCAAATTTGTAAATCTTTTGTAAAAACCTCATATTTGCATAAGGCAAGAGCAGGCATGGAAGAGGTATTCATTGTACATCCGGAAGCAGGCAGGTAGATGGGGAATGGATGGGTAGGTAGATGAATTGATGGCTGACGAACAGGCGGGTAGGAAGGATGTGCGGGCAGGCAGACAGGTGGGTGGGGTGGGGGTGAATGGATGGACTGTTGGCTGACTGACAGGTGGGCAGAGTGGATGGATGGGAAGGTGGATGGATGGACTTTTTGCTGACGGGCAGGCGGGTAGGAAGGGTGTGCGGGCAAGGTGGATTGATGGATTCGTGGCTGGCAGGTGGGCAGGCAGGGTGCATGGACAGGCAGGGTGGATGGACAGGCAGGGTGGATGGACAGGCAGAGTGGGTGGGCTGGACAGGGCTTATAGGTCACAACCAATCCATCCCTCAGCGATGGGATGCAGCGACAGTGAAACCTGTGAAGGGAAAAATGTAATCGCTGTCTGGGTTTATACCTGATCAACCAGGCTGTAATTCGTATTTCAGGCTGCGAGCAGCCGCATCGAACAGCCTGGTTCATCAGACCAGCTACCAGGAGGCCTGCTCAGAGACCGGGCCATGAGGACATTGATCCTCAGAATCTTCAACAGGTAGGTAGGTAGACCCTTTTGAGGTATTTTGGCAGATATCTGTGCTGATATCTGCAGCCTGATCTTTGGGTTTGTCTATAGTTTTTACAGTAATTTAGCAAATTAAATATATTTTAATTTTAATTTCACATATATTAAATACAGATAGGGTGTACCTGCACGTCTGACTGCGTCTAAGCATGTATTCATGGCTTAACTGATCAGCATCCTCGACATCATCAAGTACAGGTTCTGGTGTCCCTAAAAAAATAAAAAATAAATAAATAAATGTGCAGACCCTGATACATATTCATTATTTTGACATTTCTTAAAACAAGGTTAAAACACTAATAAAACCAACATTAAATGTAATGACAGGCCATTTTCTGGGTAGAGCCCCGGAGGTCCCCCTGGAGCTATTGGACTGATATTAGTACGGGGACTTCAGTCATATGCAGTTCTCATGCCTACCATGGACCACTAGGAAGAACATAGTTTCTTTAGAGAGGTGAAGGGAGCAATGGCCTATGAAACCTACATGTATGAAAGTATTCATGTCTGCCATCGACCGGGGTTTAGTACCCAAAAAGGCAAGTGCTTCAAAATAGACCCCCACCTGGTAGAAATATTGTAAGCTATTGCCAAGCCGGCAGCCAGACCGTTAGTTAGGAGGCTGAAAACAAACACAACCCGCCGACTGGGAAGAGGAAGGGTGCCAGGGAGCCTCCGGGGTTCTACCCAGAAAATGGCGTTTCATTACATTCAACGCTGGTTTTCCATGGGGAAACCCCGTTGGCTCCCTGCAAGTAACTACCTGAAGAGAAAAGGATATGGACTTACCCAGGCTGCACCGCACAACTCATAATGAAGACAAGACAACTGGCTGCAACCGCCGACCCAAGGCAACAGGACCGCTGAGCGCCCAGCACATTAACAAGATATCGGGCAGCCAGAACCCTGTTCGATCTCCAAAACTCCTGTGCCCGAAAATAGCCCAAAGCATATTGCCAAACACAGCAGCCAATGCTGTGAACATACGAATATCCTGGGTGCGAGGGTGGACCGTAAGCTGGCTAGACTTGATAACCCTGTAGACGACCTGAGAGACCCGAGCCCTGGAACAGGGAACAAGAGAAACAGGGTCAACCCAAAGCGCGTCCCCGGACACAGAAGCCGAGGCATGCAGGTAACAGTGTAAAGCCGCATCCAAAGAAAAAACCAGCGTTGAATGTAATGAAACACCATTTTCTGGGTAAGCTCCAGAGGCTCCCTGGAGCTTATCGGGCTAATGTATGTTATGTTAGACCAGGACATTAGCTATGGAGTTCAGACCTACCAGGGACCAGCGCCAGAACCTGGCCCCTTCAGAGAGGTTTCAGGGAGCAATGGCCCTGGAAAACCCCATATGGTTGGGGTTTTCCTTATCTACCATCGACCAGGGTTAGGCACCCAGAGAGGTAGGCGTAACAAAACAAACCCCACATGGTAAGAAACTACAACAAAAAAACGAACAGAGGTAGAAAACTCCCTACAATCCCAAGGAAAACAATCAAACAATCAATTTACTGCCGCGCCGGTCGTCCGTACAGCCCTCCCCTCCCCGGGAGGGGGAGGGGGGGGGCCCCGGACCTCACCACGCCGGCTGCCGTCAGTTCGGAAACTAGGTTTCAACCAACGCGAAAAATCCCGACGACCGGATGGGAGGGAGGGTAGCCAGGGAGCCTCCGGGGCTCACCCAGAAAATGGCGTTTCATTACATTCAATGCTGGTTTTCAGTGGGGAGCCCCTACGGCTCCCTGGAGTTACATACGCAAAGAGAAGGAAAAAAGGGGACTTACCCGGGAGCCGGCGGCCACAAACTCCTCAACGCGAAGTCGAGACAACTGGCTGCAACCTGCGACCCAAAGCAACACAAGAACGCCAAGGAGCAGGGACGTTCACCAAATAACGGGCGCCCAGGACCCTGTTCGACTTCCAAAATCCACGCGCCCGAATATGTGCCCAAGACATATTACCAAACACTGCAGCCAAAGCTACAAACTTCCAAATGTCATGGGCGTGAGGATAGACCGCAGGCTGGCTAGACTTAATAACCCTGCGGACATCCTGGGAGACCCGAGCCCTGGAACAGGGAACGAGGGAAACTGGATCAACCCAAAGCGCATCCCCAGCCACCCCGGCTGAATCGCGCAGGTAACGGCGAAGTGCTGCAACTGGACACAACACATGATGCACCCCCGGCCGAACCAACCAAGCATCAATGACCCTCGGACCCCTCTGGAAAGCAGTCATCTCGTTCTTCACCAGAAAAGATGGAAAAGGCTGCAAACGGACAAACCTACCCCCAGGACCAAAAGAGAAGAAACCCCTGCACCAGAGGAGAGCATGAAGCTCCCCCATCTGGCCCCCAGAGGCCAATGGCAACTACAACAAAGCCTTGGAAAAACAATCCGGAACCGAAGGGGCCACCACAAACCGAGGAGAGGAAAGATAGGAGAGCACCCTGTCCAAGGACCAGGACGGCTCAGGAGGCGCATGAGCAGGCCGGAGGTGAAAGATAGCACGGGAAAGCTTACGAAACGGGGCAGACGTGACGTCCACCTCAAAAGCTAGCTTGAGCGGCTCCGCCAGCGCCGCAGGATACGAGGCGACAGTATTAGGCATCAAATGACGGTTCTGAAAAAGCCAAGAAAGAAAGGACAAGACAACCTACGAAGAGCCAGAAAATGGCGAAAAGAACACCAGGAAACTTCATACTGTCGCCGAGACGAAGCTCTCAGGTTGGACACCATCAACGAAGCCACCTGATCACCATAGAATCGGTGATACACCCGCGTCAAAAAGACCAGACACGAAGAGCAGAGGAGAAGGTCAAACCAGCTCCGTACCGGATCGGACCGACCTGCTGAAAGAGGCGGAGCCGCGGGAAACGTCCCGGGTTCGGGCACCAAGCCAATAGCACCGGAAACCAAGGCTGGGCCGGCCACCAAGGGGCCACAAGGACTACTCTCCCTGGGAAGGTCTCCAACCGAACCAGAACCCAAAGCAACAGCTGAACTGGAGGAAAGAGGTACAGGTTACCCCACCTCGACCAGTCCTGCCGAAAGGCATCCACCGCGAACGCTTCGCAGTTGGGGAAGGGCGTCACATATATTGGGAGACGCCGAAACCACGCCGACGCGAAGAGGTCCACATCTGGGAGACCGTATGTCTGGCAGATCCAACGAAACGAGTCGTCGTCAACCGTCCACTCCGTGGACAGGGGATGGAAGCGAGACAGACCGTCCGCCAGAACGTTGGACACTCCCCAGACATGAACCGCATGGAGAGCCAAACCCCGAGAATCCAGCAGACGAACCACTCGAAGGGACCAACCCCAAAGAGCCAAGGACCGAAGAGAACCCCTGCGGTTCAGGCAATGAATCACTGGAGAACAGTCCAAATGGAGGCGAATGGTCGGTCCTCGAGCGACCCGAATCCTCCGAAGCACGAACCAGACAGCCGCGAACTCCAGAACCGTGCTGTGAGCCCGATGAAAGGACAGACCCCACCGTCCCTGGCCTGCCTAGTGAGCACTAGTCAACGAAGCCCCAGCCAAGAGACGACGAGTCCGTGAACACATCTAGCGAAGGCTCGGGAAGGCACCAAGGCACCGAACCCCAAGAACCCCAAAGAGGAAGCCGGTGACGCAGCAACCAACACAAGACCCCCAGAGGACGAACCCAACGATTGTGAGAGAGGCAGAAAGGACGTCCCCGAAGGAACCAAAACAGACGCCAAAGCCAAACCTGACCCGGCGGGTAGACTAGCACGGCGAACACGGCGGTAGACTAGCACGGTAGACTGGCTGGGCGACCTGGCCCAGCCAAGCCCGAACCTGGGACGGAACCAGATGGGACTTCCTCCAGTTCACCAGGAACTCGAACCTGGCGAGCTGGGAAAGAACCATATCCCTGGCGAGCAGAAAAGCCGACCGACTGGGAGCCCACACCAGCCAGTCGTCGAGGTAGGCCAAAACCCAAATCCCTAGAAGACGCAGACGGGTCACCACAACCCGGGTCAGACGCGTGAAAACGCGAGGTGCCAGATTCAAGCCAAAAGGTAGGCATTGAAAACGGTAAGCGTAACGCCCCATCACAAAACCTAACCAGTCCCTGAACCCCGGATGAATAGGAACGTGCCAATAGGCGTCCTTGAGGTCCAGGGACACCATCCAGGCCCCCGGCTCCAACAGAAGCCGAACCTGAGACAGAGTAGTCATCCGAAAGGAGGGGCAAGGAATCCAGGGGTTCAACGGAACAAGTCCAGAATGAACCTCAGATCCGCACAGTCCCGTTTCGGCACTGGAAACAGATGGGAAACTCACCTGAGGGATGTAGTCGTTTCGACCACGCCCAATCGCACCCACTCCAAGACAACTTGACGAAGCGCAGGAGAAGAAACATGCCCTGTTAGCCCCGAACCCCCCAAAGGAGGACGAGTCGCCCAACGCCACCGCAGGCCGGATGACACGACCGAAAAGGCCCACAAATTGTGGGGCCAAGCGTGGGCAAACAGAGCGAGCCTCCTTCTTATTGCCCCGTCAACGGGGCAAACAGCGAAAGGGCCGACGCCCCTTACAAGAACCCAACCGTTGAACAGGGCGATCACTGCGCCGACCAGACGACGCTGGCCCCGAAGGAAACAAAGGCTCAGAAACTGGCACCAATGGCCCACATCGACCAGCGGAACCCGTAACCTGGAACCCTAGCATGACCCCTCCGAAACTGCCGAGAACGACCGTTTTGGAGAATCAACAAGTCCGCCATAGGACGACAACTAGACGTAGCTGCATGCAGAAACTAAGAGACCGCAGTCTCTGCAAACAGCAACAGACAAAACGGAGACGAAAACCTAAGAGCCAGGGCCCAAGTGGATTCCAAAGAGAGGGCGAGCACCGCCTGACGGCACGCGAGGCGAGAAGCATAAAAGAGAGACACCGCTTCCTACAGGATGGGTGCAAAGAGCTTCAACAGTGCAGCCGACACCCTAGCTGCAGAAGTCAGCGCCCCAGACGAAGGCCCTTCACTCAACACTCCTACATCCTCATCAAGCCAAGCAGAAGACAGCTCAAGAAGGGAAAAATTAACACAAGACCGAAGTCAAATGCCCACGGGAGCGTGACTCATCCGCAACCAACGAAGCCGAAAGCTGAGGAACTTCCAAGTGAAGCTGGAAAAGGCCAACATCCCGAGAAAGGACAGGAGCGAACAAGCACGCAT